TATACAGAATAACAGATACCCCGGGAGGGAGTTACAGAGTGGAATCTGATCGAGGGGGTTCGGGGTGGTTTATATACAGAATAACAGATACCCCGGGAGGGAGTTACAGACTGGAATCTAATGGAGGGGTTCGGGGTGGTTTATATACAGAATAACAGATACCCCCTGGGAGGGAGTTACAGACTGGAACCTAATAGAGGGCTTCGGGGTGGGTTATACATGTAGTAACCAAGCTGTGTGTGTGTGTCCAGGTGATAATGGTGACTGGTGACCATCCGATCACTGCCAAAGCGATTGCTGGCAGTGTTGGCATCATCTCTGAGGGCAGTGAGACCGTGGAGGACATTGCAGCTCGCAAGAGAGTTCCTGTCGAACAAGTGGACAGACGGTAAATTGTCCCAGAGCTTATTCGCACACCATTACCCTCACTCACCCATTTCCTTACAGAGACACACAGACTCCCAGCTAACGATACTCACTTACACACAGGTCCACCCGCATTAGACACAACCAAACCCCAGGTACACACTCCTCTCAGGGTGCACTATCATGCACATTACACTGCATCGAAAACTTGATGGTCTGCATGGCCTCCTCCTGTTCCTGTGTAACAGGCTGGAGGAGGGTGGCTGAATGGCCTCCTGTGTAACAGGCTGGAGGAGCGGGGGCTCCTGTTCCTGTGTGACTGGCTGGAGGAGCGGGGGCTCCTGTTCCTGTGTGACAGGCTGGCAGAGAGGGGCAGAGTGGCCCCCTCGTGTTGCTATTGGATGGGTGTGGGGTGGTGTAGGCCAGTGCAGGCTCTGACAGTGCCCACGTTGTCCGTCCCATATCCAGAGAGGCCCGTGCAGCGGTCATCAATGGGGGCCAACTGAAGGACATGACATCGGACGAGCTGGTGGACTTGCTGCGTACTCACCCAGAGATGGTGTTTGCCCGAACTTCACCCCAGCAGAAGCTGATCATCGTGGAGAGCTGCCAGAAGTTGGTGAGTCTCAGCTGGGGGCTGCGAGATATTTGACCTGGGTGGGCATCACAACTGAGTCTGAATCGACACTGCTGCACGGAGTCATAGAGCTGTACAGCACGGAAACAGACCCTTCGGCCCATCCCGTCCATGCCGACCAAATATCCTAAATTAATCTAGTCCCATTTGCCAGCATTTGGCCCGTATCCCTCTAAACCCTTCCTATCCATGTCCCCATCCAGATGCCTTTTAAATGTTGTAATTGTACCAGCCCCCACCACTTCCTCTGGCAGCTCATTCCATACACGCACCACCCTCTGTGTGAAAAAGTTACCCCTCAGGTCCCTTTTAAATCTTTCCCCTCTCAC